TGACAGGAAATCTTCCCCAGGAGAGAGAAAGGAAAAGACAGCAGAGGAGACGGAGCAAGTGAAAGGGAGTGAAAGCGAGAATACATGAGAGAGAGCGAGAGGAGGAGGAGGAGGAGGAATGAAGACTCCGGTTCGTTTCACACCGTTAAACCATCTGAAGCATCCGCTGGTGACTACTGGTTGATGGGCCAGTGCGTGCACTGCGTTATCATAAACATTTGGGATTCACTTCATGGAGGCACTTTAATGATGCTTTTAGCATAATTTCCCCACTGTAATGTGAAGTGAAGGGCAAGCAGCGCCTCTCTGTCTGCCTGGAGCTCCTGTGAACCTTAGAAATATCGGCTATTCAAACAGGGCCAGCGATGGAGACACTCTGCACCACGGGCTCCATCCGCTCGGCTTGAACCGGGACATCTGTGAGAACTCCCCATCATCGATACCGTTGCTTTGTTTGACACCTCAGCGACTTGAGGCGCATTTTATCGTATAATTTGAAGTAAACTGGTGAAAATCGTCCCCCGTTTTCACACCGGAGGAAATTTAACAGGCCAGAAATAAATGCTACCAGACCGTTTGACGGATAAAAACTAATTCAAAAAACAGATTTTTCGCATCTTTACGAGCATCACAGGACTTTGGGTTGGATCCAAAGTTTCTATTAGCCATAACCACAGCAGAGCAGGGTGCACATTGTTCGACTCCATAGGGTGTTGGAGTGATTTTTCTAATTCTAGGCTGTCCACACTGAGAGGAGAAAAAAAAAAAAAAAGATAGTACAAAAAGGACAGCTTTGTTTTCATCCGGGCTGTTATCAGCAGAAGCCGACTGCAGCGAGAATAGGGAGGGATGATTTCCATAAAGACTGGCTGTTGTCTGAAAGCAAGCAGCTGTCAGGCGGAATTACCTCTCCGACACAGACACCACAATCGAGGGCGCCCTTCCCATAATTCAGTCTGATTGGCTCAAGGGGAAAATGGCAGCCTGTGGAGAGTGAGGCGAGCGGCTGGTTGACAGGTTTGCATCTGCGGAGCTAGACGCGGCGTTTACCTGTTATCATTCTGTCTGCTCGACGTGTCAGTTTTCTCAGTTCGGAAAGCTACCTGAACAAAGTGGCATAGAGAATAGAGTCCACGCTGCGAGGAGGCCGGTACGTGCCTTTACTGTTTTTCTCTCTCACATGCACACACCTGCATGGAACAAATACCTGACATGAATCCTGTCCATGTCTCTTGTAAACGATTAGCAATATACTCTCTTAAGCATTTTTTATTTTTTTGTACGGACTAATTACAGTCTTTGTTTAGCGTTAGCAAGTTCTGAGATATAAATCAGTGATGGCACATGAGCACTTTTGTGAGCTATCATCTTTAAATCTGAGTACATGTCATCAAGCAATAACCAAATTTATGACATATTTCATCCTCTTACATTAATGACATTAAGTATTTACTTGTATGGAACCACGACTGTTTAAAAAAAAAAACAACAAAAAAAAAAAAACTGACATGTTGGACAAAATGCTTTTTCGCTTTTTTCGCAAAGAGTTAGACGAGAAGATCTCATATGTTTATTCAGAGCAAGAATTGTGATCCTTTAGTAGCAAGAGGGAGAATTTACTGCCTGGATGTTTCTAAAATTCCCCCCCCAAAATCCTCCAATAAACACAATTAGCGTAGCTTATGCTAAGCTAGGCTAAAGTTCCCTTGACCCCCCCAAAAATCCTCCAAAAACAGTTTCTAATAAACACAATTAGCCTAGCTTGCTCACTCTTGTTTCATGATAAACTTATTTCGAAGCTTTAGCTGGAGCAAGGCTAGCTGCCTTGATTAGAGCCTTTATGCTAAGCTAGGCTAAAATTCCCTTAACCCCCCAAAATCCACCAAAAACAGCATCTAATAAACTCAATTAGCCTAGATTGCTCACTCTTGTTTCATGATAAACTTTTTTCGGAGCTTTAGCTGGAGCCAGGCTAGCTGCCTTGCTCCAAACCTTTATGCTATGCTAGGCTAAAATTCCCTTAACCCCCCTAAAATCCACCAAAAACAGCATCACATAAACACAATTAGCCTAGCTTGCTCACTCTTGTTTCATTCTAAACTTATTTTGGAGCTTTAGCTGGAGCCACGCTAGCTGCCCTGCCCTCAGCCTTTATGCTAAGCTAGGCTAATCACCTCCTTCTTATTTACACAAGAGAGTGGCATCGATCTTTACCTCCAGCTCTTTGTATTAAGGTGAAAGCTTTTCTACTATAAGGTAAGGTCAGGCGACATAATTACAATGAAAAATCACTGATAATTACACAAATGTATGTACACAGGGAAATAAACAAGACTAAATATGTATTTCATTGAATGTACACACAAATAATAAAAGGTTTTGTGTATACAGGCATACATAGAGTCCCATAGTATACACAACTGACACACACACACACACACACACTCAAGCGCACACACACACACACACACACACCCGCTGCACACCTATGCTAAGTGCTCTTATCTGTGACTTGTGTAGAGGTGAGTGACAGGAAGGGAGGCACAGGGGGGAAGTGTCCTTTAGGTGTCTTAATTATGGCTCCTCTCCTCCCTCTCGCTGTCACCATCCCCAGGGGAGGGCAAGACAAAAGGAAGGCAATGTTTCATCTCTGCTGCCTTGGTATTTCAAATTCCAAGGGGAGTAAGAGGAGAGAGACAGCGGGCGGTTGCACCGGTGGAAGAAGAGGAAAATCAAGTGACGCTTCTCTTCTTCTTCTCTCCGTTTCTTGCCTCCTTTGCGGCTGTGTTTAAAACAAGGCACCTTAATAAAAGTGTTTTAATGGCGTCAAGGCGGGAAAAAAAAGGCGCAACTTGATTACTGTGACAGTTTTATTTAATGAGCTCAAAGCCTCTGGCTCCGACTTGCGATTCGTTTATTACTTTGTTGTGGAGAGATATATGTGACAAAACGGAGCAGAGGGAGCGAGAGTACCAGGCCGAACGCTCTTATTGTGGAAGTCGTCTGTGGCGTTAGCAGGCGTCTCTGTGATTCACACCTTCCTCGGCGCTCACCTGCGTTTTCATCCGGCCCCGCCAGGGGAACGCTGCTCTGTCATGGCAGAACGGAGGGTGTCAGAGACACCTTGGCAGGTAGGCAGGCACAAAGACAACATGCTGTTAATTATTGATGGGAATAAATTGCACTCATTGGGTGTTTGGCAGGGCAACACATGGTGGATATGAATACAAATGTGTGAGTGTGCTGAGGAGAAAAATGCAGCATTAAGCAGAGGAGAAGGGGGTTTAAGAGAAAGAAGAGGGGCTGAAGTGGCGGTAGGAGGAGGAGCCGGTGGAGTGATGGTGGTGATACCTGGTAAAGAGACATTAGAGAGATGCAGAGAGAGTCTATAAAAGCAAACTACTCCTTAATGTCTCTCACAAGTGTGATAAAAGCTCAGAGCGGCAGCGCAGAATGCTGGCCTTTCCATTTGTGTGAACAGAACAAGGGAGCATTCAAAAATAAACTATTATACACAAATGCTAATAGAAAATGATTTTGCGAATGTGCCCACACACACACACACACACACACACACACACACACACACACACACACGAGCAAACGTGCAAACAAAGATTCTTAAAAAGGTCAGCTCTTTTGTTTTGGGACACAAGACCTCTCTCATGAAAATATTGACTGAGGAAAAGGGGAGCGATGCAAAGTGTGGTCTTAAAGCGAGATGGACAAAGAGCGCGGCGGCGTCTTATCTGTATTCCGAGAGCCGGCCCTCTTATAAATATTGGAAGAAGGACACTGGTGGGGAGAGGAAACGGCCAAATGGCGCATTTGAGAAATGGCACACCTGAGCACCACGCGGAATATCATCTCCTCCTGTCACATCTCATCCCATTTGATCAAAATAATTGCCACCTTCATCGTTATCATCAATTCTGTCATCTTCACCGGCGCCGTTCTCCATCTCATCAGGCCTTCTTTGGCTTCAAGGAGGAGGTGGGGGAGGCGTGGGGGGGTGGGGGAGGCGTGGGGGGTGGGGATTTTTTGGATCAGATCAAATGCCTACCATCTCATCTGACAAAATCACTCACGGTGTAGCCTCATAGTCATCACCATATTTATTGCTTCAATGCCACTGACATTCTCCTCACCTATTTAGATATTCTGACACGACCCAATCTTTAACTGGTACAAGAATAGCCCGGTTCAGTCGTGCAGGCTTGTCTGTCGTAGACGTCTGCAGAGAGGAGGCCCTGCTGTGCTTTGGTCTGTGTTAAGTCTCTGTGCAGCCAACAGGGAAATGGAAAAAATTAGAAGATAAAAATGAGAGAAAGGACAGTGGAGTCTTAGATTTGACACACAGCGAGCGAGGAAAGTCTTGTCCCGGTACCTTTTGTCAGTCAGCCAAATGTGTCTTAACAAGCATTCAGTCACAATATTAACATAAGATCCTGTAGTGAAGTTTTAATACGTGTAATCCACCTCTCTGTCAACCTGATTCAAATCACTGGAGCGCTTGTCTCATCTGCTTCCACTTTAGCAGCCTCATAACGCTGCACAAGTGTCCGGTCAAACCTCAGCCGCTGTAATGCAGCACACATGCACGTAACACAACAAACCCGCAGAACCACTTGAAACGAGGGACCCACATTTGTACATGAGTGTCTGTAAGATAAAACAGAGCTCCACGCACCACAGCCACCTCCCAACTCGTCACAGAGCAGCACCGAGACGCCGTTAACAGCCCACGTTCAGGAGTCTTCTCATGTTAGAGTGAACAAGTTTTGTCATTAAACAGCAAAGCAGTGTGGAAAATGACTTCCTATAAAATGTGTTTATGGTCAGAACCAGTGTGGATGTGGCTGCTTCCAGATCATCCAGATCTATTAAGTGTGCTAAACGCACAATACTAGATCCCCTGGAGGGAGCTGAAGGCGCAGCAAAGTGCTAATGACGATGCACGGTGAGGCGGAGATGCTAACTTGTTCTTAAACACGCCTTACCTTGGCCATTTGGGCCTGCACTCCGGTGGCTTTGAGAGACGACACGGCCTTCTGTGCTGCAGCTGGGCTGTCAAAATCCACAAAGCCATAACCTGGAGAGAGGAGAGGAGCAGAGAGAGAGAGGAAAAGAAAAACAGACATTAGTAAAGCAAAAATGAAGGCAGATGACTAACAAGGAGAATGACAGGCACTTGGTAATTGTAGCAGTAATAGGTTGGTAACATGACTACAGAGGCTGCCAGTTCTCATATCTGGTGAGCACTACATTGTTTGATAATTAGCGACACTGACGTTCATAGGGGGATGCTATGCATCTTAATTAGTAGCATGGATGAGCGATTTAGTAATAACAAACCCCGGCACCCTGCCCACCTCCACCTCCACGTAGGCTGACACGCTGCATGCATGTGCAGACACACACGGATACACAAAAAAAAAACACACACAGGAGAGCAGGAATGAAGAGCGTCGCTGTTTGTGGTTCAATATATCACACAGTCACTCCAACAAGTAGGGTAATTAATGAAATGGTAATTTATGAAAAGTCCATGATTTAAACTCCATGATTAAAGGATGTTACACACGTGTACGCTCTCACATACACGCAGACGCACGTCAATTAATTCTTCAAAACATTGCTTCTCACTTGTTCAGCCTTTTGATTTTTGGAGACTGCCAGGCTGGCTGGCCCACATCGTGTTCCTCAACACCCGGCATATTAACACAACCCCATTTCACAGCCTCCATAATCCTCTCCCCGGTAACAAATCTCTCAAAGGTTGACAGCATACCAGAGCTGCTGCCGTCTCTCTCTCGCTCTCTTTCTTCAACTGCATCTCTCTTACATGCACATAAAGACACGATACTTCTCACATTTTAGCCTTTCTGTTCGTCTCCTCACCGCCTCCCTCTGTCCTTCTCTCTCTCTCTCATATTTTTCCTGACATTAACAGCCATCAGCCCCCATCTGGAAATTCATCAGCGGAGGAAAGCGAGGGGAATGAAATCTGCGGCTGTGATTTATGAGTTATTGTGATCCCGACGTTCTCCGGGATGTATCGGAGACGGGGGTCACGTCTGTGTTAATTAAAATTTGGTGGCGGATTAAAAGCAGTCAATGGTGCCCTCTGATCCACTGTTTCAGAAGGAAAGTGTAATTAGAAAAGGATAATGGCTGCGAGATTGGGGAGGGAGGGGGGGGGGCTCGCCGTCGCTGTTCGCCCCATCGGCGGATCAACCATCACATGTATGAAAACACACTGAACACGCCTGAGCACGGTTTGCTTCATAAAGACAGCAAACGTCTCGGTTCCTCAGTGGTTAGAGGTGTTTGTGTGTGTGTCATGGTGGCGGCGGTGGCGGTGAGGTTGTGAGGGTCATTTTCCTGTCGGGTGGCGGTGAAGGAGTGTGGAGTAATGTGAAAATCATAACCTGTGGCGGAAGAGAAATCGAGCGCGAGGACTGATTAATGGCCAGCTGTTGGAGTGTGGCTGGGAGGGGGGCGGCTCTTTAATTGTGGAAATATGAAGAGCCAAAGTGAAATGTCCAGGTTCAAGTACAGGCAATAAGAGAAACTGGACCTTTACTTTTTAAAAGTACTGGAATAAATTTGGTTTATAAGCAGCTGCAATTAGACAGCGCAGCAAACCATCTCTAGATTTGCAATTTTAATCAATATTTAGAGAAAGCCTGACAATAATAATAAAGAGTGTTTAATTGAGGGTTTGGTTTAGCTAATTACTTCAGTGGTGTCTACCCGTGCAAAGATTCTGGGTTTTGTGGTATCTATCTGACATTTCTGCCACCTTCAAATCCAATGAAGATTAAGTGATTATTGATTATTAACGGCTTTAATGGGACTACAAATGGGTGACAAACCACCACCAGCACTGAGCATTTTCTCTCAGGTGTTGAACCATTACAGACTGCTACAGCTTCACCATGCCGTTGACATATAGACTGCACACCACACATCTCTGCATCTCTACTATATATATATATATATATATGGGGATATAAACAACATATCCCCAAAGTACATTTGCGCCTTTGGTGATTTGATGAGGGCGGTGGAGAGCGATGTGTAAACGGCAATCTCAACAGTCCAAATGTTTCTGCTGCCTATACGTTGTGGATTCACTAACACTATCTATAGCGTTTTGCTCTTTTTCACTACACACTGGAAAAATACCACATAAGATACATAAATAAACAACACAAACAAATCAAAACAAAGGTGTTCTCTTTCTGTATGCGTCTGTCTACCTGTCTGAAAGGACTTTAAGCAAAATCACATCTCTGATAAATGAAGGACCAAAAAACTGCAGTTCATCAAATGGCCACTTGAGGCCGCCTCTAAAAGGGATTCAATGCTCATAGAGCCTCGTGTTAAAACGCCAAACTTCACAGCAAAAATAAACATGCTTACAGCCTGGTAGAAAATCGATGTTGGTTTCTGAATCTAGTTCTCTGTGTGAGACAACAGTTTAGGTCAGGGGTGTCCAATCCTGGTCCTCGAGGGCCACAGTCCTGCATGTTTTAGATGTTTCCTTGTTCCATCACACCTGATTCAAATGATCAGCTCATCATCAAACTCTGCAGAAGCCTGATAACGATCCTGATCAATTGAATCAGGTGTGTTGGAAGAAAGAAACATCTAAAACATGCAGGATTGTGGCCCTCGAGGACCAGGATTGCCCACCCCTGGTTTAGGTTGCATGAAGGTTTAGGGTTATGGATAATTTGTGGACACGTTCAACCGCTTAGAAGGAATCAGTCCACCGGCAAGATGGCGACGGTCGGAGCCACCACACTGAGCTTTAACCCTTTGGCTGACGTCATGGAGGGTTTGTCCATCTTTATATAGAGGCAGCAGCTCAGAGCAGCTGATGAGGGTCCTGATTCTCTGACAGGTTTTTATTTAGGCTGAAATCTGGTCGCTATAAAGACCACAGCATGCTACCCACTTTATTTACGCACCAACAGTCGTCACATTCCTTCATTAATTCATATTTTAAGAGTCTTCCCATTAATTCATCTGCATTACTCTGCTCACACTGAGCTAGAAAACCCACCACAACACTGCTCGAAAAGCTGCTGAATTTTTTAAATGCCATTTCCAACGTCGCGAGTGCCACAAACAAAAAAATTCCATTTACCTCCTTCGCTCCGGGGTCGAGTCGGAAAACTTGCTTTTTCACTATTTGAGCGAGCTGACCCTTTAAATGGTGGCGGATTCCTCTCGTTCCCGCTCTTTAGAACCCATTAACTGCACATTTAGAGAACCGCACATAATGCTACCCAGGCCCTCTGGGCGACGGCTGATTCTCTTTAATAATCAGAATATTCCAACGGCGGATACTTGGAACCCCCAATTACAAATTTAATATTCAGCCCACTACTACCTAGAGTGCACTTATCAAACTTTTAGCAGGAGGAGGATTTTAGAGAATGCTGACCTATATTCAGTCCACTCTGAATGGAGGAAGCTGCGAGAGGAAGGCAGACGGAAAGAGAGCAAGTGAAAAGGTGTGTGCAAAAGAAAGGCAGAGCGAGGAAGGAGGTTATTCGGGGTCAGCTGAAGAAGACTGAATTGACACTAGTGCCTTAATAATGGAGCCGGTTTGCCTTTCCACTGTGCGGTTATTGCAGCTGATAATGATTCAGTAATGTCGGATGTTTGATCCGTAGCCACGGGGTAAAACTCTTAAAGGCTTGTTTTGTTGAGAAAGAGAAAAATAATTGAGAGATATGGAAACATTTGAAGCTCTGTTTGTGCTTTTAGTCGGCAGGATGGCTGTGAAGGGTTACGGCGTCGTTTCTATACGTGCATACTGTATATGTGTTGGAGTGCTTTTACCTGAATTCATGCATTATATTGCTGAGCTCTATTTAGATTCATGATGAACTGTAACTACATTTTCTGCTCTGTTATTCGTATATGTAGGGACATGCTAAACCACGTTTCGAGAACATTTTTACATTTTGCAAAAGAAGAAGATATTAATCTTTCTGGAAATGAATGGAAACATCACGGCTTTCAGAAGCAGCCACCTGACTCCGCTGAACCACCGGCGCAGAGAGCTGAACCGCACCGCCGACCGGAGCGCAGGCCGATTCACGCTCTTTGTGTCCACGAGTGTCCGCATTACACAAATTCTGTCGCGCGGCCAAGTCTTCGGGCTTCGCTTTGTGGATGTCCGTGTGTAGTTCGAGTTTTGCGACATGACCTGTGAAATAAACGGCGCTCAGAACAAACTCTCGTTAAGGGGAGAGACTGTGTAAAGACGGTCGTCCACACCTTTATGGTTCATCATTAAAAGAGTCATAATTGAAGTGGACGCTGCATTGCTTTGGAGGCTTTGATTTGAACCGAATGAAGCAGGAAGTTGTCCACCCACGGTAGGAAGAACCACACTGACGCGGTGCTGCAGCCCAGTCTGTAGACGAACTATCTGCCATATCCACCAATGTCACAGCCTTTCAGACACATGCATGGGAGTCTCTTGTGTTTTTCTGTTTAACATGAAGGACAGTGCAGCTGACTGATGTGTACCGAGTGTATGAACAGAACCTGCTTTCAAATCTGCATCGATCATGTAAATACGATGAACTGACCTTGTGTCACAGCCCCGTGTAGCCTTAGAACATGTTTTATCCCCTTTTTAACCCTCGTCAGGACTTCTGGGGCCATTTGGTTTAGGTGACAGGTGTTGTTTATTTATTTTTGAAGATTTTTTTTTTATTTTAAATATAAAACGAGGGACATTTGTCATGCATTTGGGACCAAAAATACGTCAATTTATCAGAAAATGTATTTGAATCTTATAATGAATACCAACAATAATTTGCACGTATTCCTTCTTGAGGTCCAATGGGGGTCCTGACCTTCTACGTAATGCAACATGAAGGTGCTGAATAGGGTTAAACAAACATACATAGTTTAATGTACCACCAAAAATTAGAAAAATTTAAAATAGCATATATCAGAGTCACTAGTTAAACTTAGCACTGATTCCACAGCCACTGCAGAAAACAATAAATAAACATTTTGGAACTAATTTTATTGCACGCTTCCTTGTAGACTACATTT